ATTTGTAATTGTCAAAAGGTGACAACCTTAATGTCATAATTTATAGGGTGATGCAACCACAAAATCTGACGAGCAAACACTGACATCTAGAGCATGTCATGCAAAGTTACACCTTCAGATTAAGGCACAAATTATAGCTATCCAGCTATTCAACTGAAAAAGACCTAGAATTTCAATCATGATGGGCCAAGAAACTAAAGTCAGATTTTAACATTATATCAAAGATTTTAGCATAAATTTGCAGTAAAGCCCCCTCATGCTGCCAAAACAGCTCTGACCTGTCCAGTACTGGACTCCAAGACCATTGAAGGTAGATTCTGGGATCTGACACCAACAGCAGATTGTTTGGGTCCTGTATGTTACAACGTGAAGCCTCCACAGATTGGATTAGTTTTTCCCTAGCATATCCTACTAATGTGCAACTGGACTGAGATCTGGGAACTTGAGACCGAAACAGCACTTTTACTTGTTCCACAATTTTTCAGTGTGGCAGGGCATAGCATCTTGCTGAGAGATGCCACTGTATTCGGGAATACTGTTGGCATGAAGGGGTGTATAACCCCGTTTAGGTATGTGGGACATGTCACACTGCCTCCGCCAGCTTGTCTTCTTCACAGAATACACATGAGGTAAGAGTAAACCTGATTCAGACAAGGCCACTACTTCATTCTGCCATGGTCCAGTTCTGATGTCTGCGTGCACATTGCAGGCTCCTTCAGCTGTGGCCCTGCCGACAAGTTAGCTAAACAAAACAGAATTTTTGGACTGCATCATGTCTCACACACACACACACTTAATATTTTTAGAGAGAGGGAACCCAAATGCATAACTTATGAAAGTAGAAATTGTTTTAAAAAAAAAAAGTTTGTGATGATACCATGAGGGGCAAAGCCACCCAGTAGGCTTAGGCAGATAAGCACAGCAGGTACAGTATTAGTGCTATGGAAGATTGACACAAGCAGCATCTGTTACCCAAATGCTTGTTGTACTCTTGTCAGTGAAAGGTGGAACCCTCATGGCTAACTGGACACCGCAGGGGAGTGACAGAAGTTCATACACATGAAACACCAGGTAGGTATTGACTGGCATCTTGCAAGGAGTTCCTACAATACCAGACATTTACACACTCAACAGAAGGTCACAGGTGAGTAGAATTTAAAGAGCTTGAAGTACCAAAAAATGACAGTATGACCCACAAAATGACAGACTCAACAGGCACTATAAGTAACCAGACAGCACATTACCAGGACTGGTGGTATTATAAACATCCAGGAGAATCTGCATAGCAGAATGCAGCACATCGGTTCTCAAACAAGAGAACTACACAAGAGAAAAGAGAAACTTGAGCAGGGAAAACATGCATTTTACTGCTTCTCATTTTTAGAAAGCACCCATTCAACTGCAGAATGATACAACACCACCAAGATGACCACCAGGTGAGCAAGTGGCAAAAACACAACATAGGAAATAACACCTGGAAAATAAAACCACTTCCATGCACACAATTGTGAAAAATATACTGAGCTTAGTTATGAATTAAAAGGCTTAAACATCAAACAAGACAGCACTTCCAAAACATGCACAAAAGTGAAGAAGAAGAAGACGACGACGACGACGACGACGACGACGACATACTAAAGGGAAGCTGCAACCAGAGACAGGCTGCAGTTGTAGCTAAAGCACTGCACACAGTGAGAGACTGCCTGACAGCTGACAGACTAGACAGGTTAAATAAGCAGACTAACAAGATGCAGGTGAAACCAATCATCAGCTGGTGATTGAGCTTGGTAAAGGTGGTGCTGATGAAATGGTGCAAGAAGGAAGTCTCCAAAAATAACAACAGGAATTCATGGACAGATCATGACAGCATCACCCGGTGGCTGCTACACAATTGACAAGTTTTCTTTCTCTGCTGAGAGAGAAAACTGATATCAACCCTCAGTCTGACTGACTGGTAAAACAGCAAACAACACCCAGAAACAATAACACTGTACTACTGCCTGCCATGTGCTAGCTGCTACGCCCACTTGTGGCCACTAGATGCTCGTGTAGAACACAAGCAGTGTCTTACCTGGGAGTTACAGTTGCATGATAAAGTCTGGTCCTCCACTAGTCAAATTACATTGTTGATTCTGAAGTGAAAATAAAGACATACAACCCCTGTAGAAAAAAGACCATCAACTGTTAAGCATGACAGTGGATGTATTTTTTGTTTATGTATTTTGGCATGCTCTGTTTTATCTCTGTTTGTTTTATTGTGAAGCACTTTGAGCTCCCTTCGGTGTTGTAAAGCGCTATATAAACAAATAAATTATTATTATTATTATAAGTATTAGCCCAGAAGCATGAATTCCACTAAACCACATGCTATATGTGCTATATCGCAGAACCTGAAATTATCTGCAAGGAAGAGTGGGTGAAAATCACCATATCGAGAACAGAAACATTTTTAAATTGCAAAAAAAAATAAATTTGCAAGCACTGCTATCTGCTGAATGGAGGGAAGGGGAACATATAATCCTGTACACCCACTGTTTGTGATGGTAAAAACATCCGCCCTGACACCTCAAAATAATATTTATGGATTAATATTTTAGTAGCTACGGTGTCATGTCAGCCTATCAGATCTGCAGTGTCAAATAATGAGCAGATTATTGGCAAGTGTTAGAACAGGGCACGTGTTGTGTGATGATGCATTTGAGTAGAGTGAGTCTAAATTTCTGCAAGATAAAATACTAAACTGTAGGGTTTTAGAGACAGAGGTGTATTCTGTGTGAGCACTGGGGCTGTGGTTTGATATTAAAATGTTATGTCTGTGACTGCCCATTAAGGTATTTGATTGGATAGGTTCCAGCAGGTAAACTATCCTAGTTAGGGGTACTGACATTTCAGGTTGGAAAGAGATGAGAGGAGAGAGCAGATGGTACTCAGGAGGAGAGACAGAGCTGACAAAAGACTAACCCACTAGACAGTGGGTTAAGTAACCATTAACAACATAATCCAAAATTTGGGAAATACATCATGTAGTTAAAATAGGGCTGAGTTGGATTAACCGTTAGTAATTATCAAGAGGAACACTTTGCAGAATATGCCCTTGGTACAACACAACTACTTAACATCTACAGTAAACACAGCACACTTTTCCTCTGAATATCATTTATTATTCAATCTACATCAGTTGGTCCTTAGACAAACCGCCTCCACTCATTTCATAGTTTGTATGATACATTTATGACCAAAGAACACATTTCACACAGCTACAGATTGACAGAACTGCCATATCAAATGTTAAGATATCTATTTACTGTCATGCTGAGTGGTTTTATCAGTAGCAATGACTTACTGATGCTGTTACTGCTGCTAGTGTGGCTTCTGGCATAATAATGGCATCTATAAGTCCCAGTGAGTGGACGGCATGCCATAGTATCGTCCGTCTAAGGTAGGAATTTGTACTGTAATTTACAGTTAGATGAAACTGGACCTTCCATTGTCTGGCCCAGCTTAAAACAAATAGACAGACAGTGTAATATGTAAATATTTTGTAGAAAAAGAATCATATGCATTGATGCTTTCACCAATCCTCATTGCACAATTCTCTTACTTGTACCTATGTTTGTTAGTTGTGCAGTATTTGAAGATAGACAGCTATGATTGTATAGAGATCTTAAGGTATCTACAACTTTGTATATCCTTTTGGTTATGAGGATTAGCATAGTCATCCTGTACCTAATAGTATTTCATGATTATATTGTATATAAAAAAAAGACCTCCGCAGAGTGACACTTCTGTACATTAATGTTTTTGTTTTGTACATAGCTGTAATGGTTAGCTCTCATTTTCACATTGCTTCACTGTGTCTCACACCATAATTTGTGTCAGATCCAGTGGTGTGGATGGAGGACCCATGGCGTCCCTTTGTCCAAATGCTCAGCTCTCAAAGAGTCAAGTCATCTCAAGGCCCGCATTCTTGCCATGCCATCAGACGGGCCATCTTGTGCAGCATAGTTCCTTGTATAGTCTTCGACAGTTTGTTGTTAGTGCTTTCGCAACTAACCAATGTTGTGCTAGTTTATAGAACCCCCTTCGTCTGGCTGGTCTGTAAAAGGCCATTTCACAGTTAAGTCCCAAGCAGCAATCTTATTCAGGGGTGGGGTAAGAGATGCCTGAGGCTCTGAAGGGCCAGTATTGCTGGTCCATTCACTCCAGCCAAATGCTAGACCAGTGGTTCCTGATATTTCCCTTTGCTTACATTCAAAAGCTTTTCAAGCTCCCTCTACTTTGTGCCATATTTGATTATTTTCTAAGCTGCAATCATGCAAGACTCTCTGTAATCCTTATTATTAGGAAACACCGTGCTAGCCCAGTTAGACCAGCCTTTTATGGCATGCAGCTAATACGGCTATTTCAGCAATAAATGTGGCTGTTTGAAGTACATATTTCTTGCAGCAGTATTAGACAATGTACACTATAATGAAAGCTGGAAGGACAGTGTGTGTGATGGAAGCTTGTAATATGAAACACATACATTTAATCAGGAGCATTTGATGTTAGCTGTATTAGCTACAGTTGCTAGGCTGTTGTGGTTTTAATGGCTGGCTGGGGTAAAGGCCTGTGTATGTTGTTGCCCTTCAGGGTCCCGGGACAGTCCGTGACCTTTGACATTAGGATCATGAACCAGCTCTCAGGGAGAGGCTTGAACATCCAAAGGCCTTATTCAAAATATGGATGCCAAGCTACAGGTCAATGAAGACAGAAGAAAAAGTATCCAACCACGGTCTGCATTTACTTAAAGTAGTTAAGACTTAACAAGATTTTCATATGCACACGCAAAGTTGTCATTTTGTTGAAGAAATATTTTGTGGAGGATACTTTTTCACTCTTGTGTTCACTCGCACTCCCCTCAGCCTTGCTTCTCAGCTTCCTCTCGCCCGCTCTTC